ACCCCACGCCCCACTTCCCCCCACCCCAACCCCCAACCCCACCCCTCCGCGTCCCGCTGGTCGCCAGGCGTACTTGATGTTCGGCAAGTCCGAGTACCTCTACATGTTCGCAGACCTGTACGCCAGCACCATGAGGTGGATGCAGGTAAGGCGCATGGGCGGTGCCGTACTGTACGGTCAACCTTGGTACGGAGTACGATATGTGGGTATGGACGACGGCATCTTCCCAGATGCCCCAGACGGGCTCACTGTATAGATGTGTATAAATATGTATATATACATACATACATCGTATATAACTTCCTCCCACCTCCCATATCTCAGATTCCCGGCACTTTCAAGGGCTACAGCTTCATAGTGGATGTGCACATGGACAACGGCCGACTAGCCCGACCCTTCGTGTCCAGTCTGGGTGCCTTTTGGCCGGGAATGCAGGCGCTGGCAGGTATGTATGTATGTATGTATGTATGTATGTATGTATGTATGTATGTATGTATGTATGTATGTATGTATGTATGTATGTATGTATGTATGTATGTATGTATGTATGTATGTATGTATGTATGTATGTATGTGTTTCTGGGTATTTACGTGTAGGTGTTGGGGATAGTGTCCCGGGTGTGGCTCTGGGTGGCCCCGGGTGCGCATGTCGCCGTTGCAGGCGCGCGCGCGTGTGTGAGTGTGAATGTATGTGTGTGTATGTATGTATTACATATCGATCCGGGCCTGACGCTGGCCAAGGAAAAAAAATCGATCCGGGCCTGACGCTGGCCAGGGGCACCTAACCGTATACCCCAACGGGAACGACCGCCGAAGCACTCTTCCCCTAGTTATGTCAGTGTATGTTTCGTACGATGCTGGAGAAGAGCGCGGGGGTGCCAGCGGGCAGGAAGGAGGTCCCTAACACACCACGCGACCCGATCTTCCGTTCCTCACCCATTCACCCATTCACGTATAACCGCCACCACCACCACCACCATTACCACCACCCCCGGCCCCCTTCCCTTCCACCCGCCAACCTACAAACCCATCTGAAATCCCTCCCTATCCTGCACTACCCCGGCTCCAGCCTGAGTCATTTGGACTGCTACTGCTTCAGTGTTGTAGATCGGGGGGGGCTCAACATTGCGTTTCAATGAAGATGGGTTGGATTTGTTATTATTACGAAGATGACTTCCATTGTTGGGGCGTATTTCGCCACGAAGTGCTTTCCATTTGATATTAATGAACTGTTTGCTCAACACAGCTAGTCCTTTTCCCCTACTCCCCATACACCCCCACACCCTCACACCCCTCCTCCCCACACACTAACAGGCCAGGAACGTGACGCCATTCAGCTCCACGCCAACTTCACCGCAGCCTGGAGGACATTTGGATGGCTACCCGAGGTGTTCGGTATCGACCTGAGCAAAGTGCGTGTGTACGTATGTCTATGTACGTGTGTTTTTATATTGCCTGTGCTGCAATACGGCAAACGCCGAATTTGGTGGTACACCGAAGCGAGCTTCGTAGTCCAGCAACTGTAAGCATTTTTCACTAAGAGTTTTGGTGTAGCTGCTTTTTCCAAGAATATGTTCTCAACCAACAATGCCGTGTGCGTACAGGGCAGGCCGGAAATTTCTGGTATCGTTGTACAACGGTGGTGATGTACTACGTGTGCTTTGTCCCGGGGGCGATGTACTGCGCGGGGCGGTTAGTTACTAACCTGATAAAGAGGCTGCGGATATACATACAGATGCCAGTTTTTGAGTGCCCAGATTGCTTTACATGCGGCTTCATATCACCAATTTAGGAAAACCTGGATCTACGTCTAAAACACCAACCACCACTAACCACCAGTTAACCACCACCAACGACCGCCCCGTAGGTCCATCCAGAGGACCCCGGCTACAATCTTCGTCCCGAGCACATCGAGTCGACTTACCTGCTACACTGTCTGACACAGGTACTGCACGGCAGAGTACGGCAGCGTACCTTGGCAATCGCCGTTCTGTTTCCTCTTATCGATTGCGTCATCCTCGCGCTGCCGTGCGCCTGCTTTGCTTCTCTGCCCCCTGCCAGGGGGTTGCGTGATCAGGAGGCACATGAGACCGGGGAAGCAGACCAAGCAGACCCCGGCCGGCTTGGCTGTCCTAACCCGGAGTGCCTTAGTGCTCGATGTATGCCTTGAGCCTCAACAATGCTGCTTCCACCCCCCGTCTCACCACACACCCCATCCCCGGAGCACTCTTTCCTTGGGAGCAGCTTCACTCGCTCGTAGTTCGTCTTTCCCCCTCATCTCATACCCCGTGCCGCATGTTCGCTTTCTCGTCACCCCTTCCTTCCCTTTTCCCACCCCTAACTTGCCCACCGCCATCCCCCAAACCCCCACACGTACACTGGTCGACGTCGGCTGTTGAAAGCTAACCTTTTGCCTTTTGCATGTACGACTCCACCAACCACCACCACCACCCCGCACACCCCCAAACGCCTCCCCATCTCCTATAATCCCTCTCCTCCTCCTCCCCCTCCTCCTCTGCTGCCCCTCAGGACCCCTACTACCTGCGAGTGGCAGCCAACATTCAGTCCACACTGGCCACTCATAACCGCGTCGAGTGCGGATACACCAATGTCAACCACGTGGATACGGGTGGGCTATGGTCCTTAGCGAGGGGGAGGGCGGGGCGAGAGGATTGGAGCTCTCCTCGCCTTCCTACCCTGCTGCCTGACTGCCTGTATACCTTTACTCCTACCTGCCCATCACCAACTACCAACCACCAACCACGCATGTCCCCAATCTCCACTTTATACCCACCGCCGCCCTCCCCTCCTCCCCATCCCC